GACCGAATAAATATTGTTTACCAAAAATACTTGTTTTGGTAAACGATATTGCAAGCTTTTTCGTAAGCTTTATTTGTATAAAAAAGTAGAAAAAATGTACCTGTTACAGAAGAAGCCGAGGTTTTTGAAATTGAATATTACATCTGCATTTTTGGTTTCTGATTTTGATTTAGATGTTTCAAAGTATAATTATGTTTCTTGTTTACAGAATAAGAACAACAAGGTTCTCTTACACCTTCTACTAAAAAATTTATTGAAGCAACAATTGCTTGTGCTATAAGATACAATATAAGTCATAGAAGTTTAATATCCTAACTGGTATTTTTAATGCTTCTAAAGTTACTATTAAAAATGGTAATATCTTTCTATCAAGTTGTTATAGAAACCGATATGTTAGCATTTAGAAAAAAGATAATTTTATTAGCAATGAAATCATTGATAAGTTAAAATGCAAAATATCAATGTTGAACATTGACACTAAACTAGTTTAACAAATTTGTGCGCAGAAGAGCATCTCTGTTACAAATGAAAAACTGGCATTAAATGTGTTCAATCCAAATGCTCCGGATTCAAAAGACATTTTGTTAGGTGTTCGCATAATTGAAAACTCAAAGGGAGAAGTTCAGACAAGGTAAATTTTAGCATTCTTTAATACTCAGATACAACCAGTTGCAAGACTGGTAAACACCAAGGAGCAATAGCAACTCTTACTAATATTATTGACTCCCAGCACAGAGGCTGATCCCCAGCACAGGGGCAGATCTCTAGCACAGCGGCAGATCCTAAGTACAAGGGCGGATCCGGCATCCTTTATGTTCTCTGTAGGCATCATAAAAATGAACTCCACATTTCAAATTTCTGAGAAATTTGAAAAGATCTGACCAAAGATCAGGTATTTTAGTCAAGGTATTTAAGTCAAGTAAAGTATATTTTTTCTTAATGGAGTTACTAAGGACTTTTTTTTTTTTGATTCCCGCAGCACGGTATAATGCATGAGGCAACATGACTGATGTACTATATGTTTTAACAATTCAGATGACAATAGTTCTATTAGTTTTTCTTACATTAGCAAACAAAGATCTGTCTGATATCACTAATGTAGAAAAGATAAAAAATTTGATCATTAACATTAAGCCAAAAATATTCAGACGCGGTCCGCCCGCAAAAAAATACTAATTTGGACAGTAATCTGACTCTTTCTAACCTTGTTGATCCGGAAAGCTGGATCCTTTTCAACATTGTTAGTGTTTCTTTAAAAGATGTTAATCAATTGATTAAGAGATTCTGGCTGTGCGGACAACTTGGAGAGTTACAGAAAGTTGTAACAAAATGCTAAACTTGTAGCAAGAGACGATAGGAAGAAGATACCCGTTAATGTTAACAAAAAAAATGGTAATTTTAATGAAAAAATTTGAAAAAAAAATAAAAAAAACAAACAGGAAAAAGTACAAAATAAGAATCGTTCAAACTGATATTGACAGGTTCGAAACGAGCTCTGGACATAACGTAAAAAAATAAAATTAAAAAAAAATATTGTTTATCTTTTCAACAATTATTTAAGTTGTTATTATTTAAATAAATTAACTTTTTTGCAATTTAAAACCTTATATATTCCAGGCTATTAAATACCCAATATTTTTTTTGCTAATAATATAAAATTTATTTAATAAGCAATATTTTCCATAAAAAGCATGTAAAATTTCAAAAATCGAGTTCCACGTATTTCTGTTACACATGACCTAATGAGCTGAAACTTTTAAAAACATGATCATTATGATGTAAATGACAAAGATTGTGAGTCTCCCTGAATTTTGACTTCAGTTACAATATGACACAGGCTAACATACATTTCCATATATGTGGTGCATAGTATATTTTTTTACCTAATTTGTTTGACTGTAAATAGAAAAGATTCATATAGATTTTAATTAATTTAATTTCAAAAATATTATAATAAAATTATCTGTATAAGTATAGAAAATATCAGTATAATTATTGTAAAGTTAAATAAAAACTATGATAAAATATTATTTACAAAATATTTATGAAGTGTATAAACTAGTTTTTATTTTATAAATGAAAAAACACAAAACGGACCATTTTATAAGAAAAAAAAAACATTATATGTAATCAATCTTGATATCTTTACGTATATTAAGCGTTATATGTAAGATATCAATAACATTTTAACTACATTTATTGGTGGTCATAGTTAACTAAAAATGCATATCATGAACTGTCTAAAAATGCTTATTAACTCATAAGATCTGCAGCAGCAAGTAAAGGCCACATTAATTTATATCTAGAACAAAATAATGTTAGAGAAGTTAAAAACTTACCGTTAAACAATAACTTAACTTACAATAATTATCGTTTAACAATAAACTTAACCTTATTATTGTTTAGTTAAATTTATACCAAATAAATTATTTTTTTTCCTACTTTTAAAATAATATAATAGTTTTTGAGTGTAACCAAACTTAAGTTTAATTTTCAAATTATTTTAGTTTATTTCCAGCATACATACTCGTACCCACTGAAAAATGAATAAACAAAAAAGAAGTGATCAGAAAGAATAAATAAGAAAGAAAATTCATTTAGAGAGTAATGCCCAAAAATGTAAAAAGAATATTTTGCATCATCTTTTAGTACTAACTAAATTGTTTATACCAATTTGGCTGATGTAGCAAGAACATAAACAAATACTTATTTCCTTCCAATTTGCAATGCCGCTGATGCGGTATTATTATTATCACCTAATGAGACAGAGATACATGATTCTAAAATTAAAATCGAAAAAACAAACCCCGGTCACATTTTTGTCAAAAACGACTGTTAATAAAGTCATTTATGCAAATTTAACATCTTTAACAAGCATGATAGTGGAAGAGATTAGAGAAGGCGATATATTCAGAGCTCAAATTGGTACCACACACATGATATTAATGTGTGGTACCAATTTGACGTGACGTGAAGAAATATATTCAAAAAATTTACCCATCGCATAAGTTTGCAACGCTTGCTTAAACAACACAGTAAATTTGTTCCTAGCAATCTTAAAACTGAATCCATAGAAGGTATATATGAATCAGAAGATTCAAGCCAAATGTCAATGGGTAAATTGCTTAATGGAAAATTGCTCCGTTCAAAATCTCAAGTCTATAACAAAGAGCTTTGTACTATTTGCCAATGTGCTAACGGGCAAAAAAGTTTCCAAGTTGCATAATGATTAAGAATTCTTTCTTAGAATGAACACTATTCTAAATTCTGATGATGCCGTTGCAAATGATGTCAAATATCACCTAAAGTGTTAGGTAACAGTGTAGAGATCTGTTAAAATGACAACAACTCAAGAATAAAATTAAGAATTGGATATTGGACGGGTTATCGCAAATGTAGAAATCATTAGTTTAGTCAATTTAAACTTAAAAGAAGGTTTTGTTACGGATATGAAAAACATCAATAAAACTTACAATAACTTAATTGGGAATAATGACCAGATAGACCACGGGCCACGATTTAAAAAGATGCTATAAAGTTAACTTTTCTGGTACAGTCGTGAGATCTAAAGAACTCCAATGTAAATGAGCGTTTTAGATTGTGGAAATTCTAAAATAAAAATTTATCAATTCAAAAACCCGCCTTATTGAGCTTTAAAAAACCATCAAAACGATATATCGATTTTTTTTTTTTTTTTTTTTTTTTACATAATGTAATTGCATTTTTAATTTCTAAAGGTATATTTTATTTATTTACATTTTTTCCTATAAAGAAAATTTACAGTCGTAACTTATTAATTACATAACTGGGGCTAGAAGAAGTATCTGTGTAACGGAAATACAAATATTAATGTAGACTACCAAAAGAAAAACTTGTATGACTATGATAGCAGAGATTTATAACTATGTCAATAGAAATTTAGAAAATGTAAATCAATTATATAGTCTATTATTAAATACTAGCTTGTAAGCACGTTTCTTTTAAAATATATTTAGGCTTTTAATTTGAAGAATGAAATCTTAGGATATGTAAAGGTTTTCATTCATCAGTTCCATTCATATTAAAAGGTTAATTAATAATTAATAATAATAATTAATAAATAAAAGGACTTAAAACTGTCAACTAAATATTTTGCGGGGTCCTTTCTTTTTTCAATTAAACATTGTAAATTATAGCTACCATTTTTTCTATATTTTATTTAGGTGCCCCAAGAAGTCCTTACGGTCTTATCACAGAGCACCGCTGATGAGCATTCAATCGGAAGTTCACACCTCTTTCCTAACCGTCGCAAAACTTGCCCAGAGGTGGGGTTTGAAGCACGAATGCTTTGATTCTAAGGCAAGTGCGCTACCACTGCGCCATGGCTGCTCATTTTAGTCTACATATTATGTTTGCATGTTTATACAATGCGAGTTTTAATACATGTACCAGCTCAATCGCTTTAATTTTACTTTATTTACGAAAAATGTTTTATCTAGTGATAATTTCTAAAATTGACCTCCCGTTTAAGTAAAATACACAATGCCATATCTAATGAAGTAAAAATTTTCAACATATGTTCTTTATATAATTTTGATTGCTTATTTAATGTTCTTTTTACTGGTACAAAATGTTTGAGTAATATCGAATAAATTGCTATGGCCTATTACGTCAAACTACGTGACACAAAACATAAAAATGAAGCGACGCCATTCAAACCAAT